TTAGGATTGATTATAACTTGAGATTTCGGAAAAATTATAATAAATCAAGCATCACAGTTCTCATAGCCTTCTTATAGAGTCATGTCTATTTAAACACTAGTTCAATACCTAAACACAGAATATACCTTATAACAAACTTGCCTTCTGCCAGAGTTGAACCAACAACCTCATGTATGCAAGCACTCGGGACAGATGCTCTAAGCCACTAAGCCACAAGGTCTAATATATAAACTTGGTAATCTAAATAAGTAGACATAATATAGGCAACCTCAACATCTCTAATTTTATTTAATATCTATCTTTCCTCTATCTTATAAATAAATAAGTCAATAAATACCTAAAAAGTCAGGTCTTTCAGGATTTAGTTTAAACACCAGCTAAGAAAATAATAAACCAATGGAAAATCAATAATACACTTTATATAGGATAAAAATAAATTATGGCACTTATACAATTTGGACTAAGAATGTGTAAAACTATGATTGAGTGTAATATCCAATGGGACTCTACTAGTATGGACAATGCTACCTGAATTTGCAAATTTGATCAAAAACATGATTATGAATAATCAAGATCCAATAAGAGAGAGGGGTTTTCCAAATAGCCACTAGTGAGGTAGAGGGTGGGGACAAGAGTATATTTATGGCATGCCTATATATAAATAAGCACAAGATTGTTGGAGGTGATCTTAATATGCTTAATGCATATATTTCCTATATGGCAGGCAAATATATCATGCACAAGACAGTATTAGCCACTATACTAATAGACAAGGTCTACAAGGCTGCATATAGCATATCCCTAAGTCCAACCCACATGTTGTGTCCTATAATGACTAGTAGCAGGCATTGGCTAACAATGACAACTTTAATGATCTTGTGTGCAAGGCCAAGGTACCTAGGTCTTCATAGCCTCTTATGGCAGCTGCCAAGCTGCCAACAAAGTGGCTAGGGGCATCAATGCACATTTCTCTCTTTTTATATCCCTTATAAAAGCAGCTGGAAAGTCAGCAAAAGAGCTACAAGATAATAGTATAGGCATATATGAAGGAGAGTAATATGCTGAAATAGTATAGAATGTGCCACATCTTTATCTTCTCACTGAAGAGCAGTAGTGCTTACTATTTCCTACTAATAATTAAAGACTTCTTAGTATAGAATTAGTGCCAATATCATGAAATTAGAAACCAATCCAATGCTCACAATATGTTGCTCCTAATTAGGAAATTAGACACTTTGACTATTAACACTTTTAGATACTTTTAGACACTATTAGATATAATCCGGAGCTAATACAAGGGGGTGTTTTTCCAGATGTCCACACAACCTCTATCACCTAAAAGCTATATCTGTCCATATATGTCCTTTGGAGCCTATACTTGTCCCTTCTAGCCCACATTTACTTACTACCGAGTGCCTTCAGTTCCTTTCCTTGGACCTATGCACCCATCTTTTCCTGTAACCCATGTCCAAGCCCACATATCTTCCCCAGCCTATACATGCATGCTCAACCTCTTAACCCTTTATCACATTTGTCAACCCCTCCTGTACTCTCACTTTGTCCTGCATCATTGCTGAGACTACCGACAAGTTAGTGGATGAAGGCAAGGTTGGCTGGAAGCTGACCAACTTCAATAGCATGTGCCTGTGGCTAAACATAAGCATCAATCTTCAAATTGAGATTACTAAGCCAGCTATCATCATGTAAAAACATCAGTCAACAACTTATTATATTATAGCTCAACAAATGGCTGAAACAGAAATGGAAGGTATTATTCAATTTATAGGGTAGTTCTTTATACTTGCCCCCAACATTTGGAAAACCACCCCCTTGTATTAGCTCTGGATTATATCTAATAGTGTCTAAAGGTATCTAAAAGTGTTAATAGCATCTAAAAGTGTCTAATTTCCTCATTGAGAGCAATATATTATAAGCATTGGATTGGATTCTATTTTATAATATTAGCACTAATTCCATACCAAGAAGTCTTCAATTAGCAGTAGGAAATAGTAAGTAGTACTGCTCTATTAGTGAGAAGGTAAATATGTGGCACATTCTATATTATTTTGGCATATTACTCTTCTTCATATATGCTTGCACCATTATTTTGTAGCTCTTTTGCTAAACAATAGCTGTCTTTACAAGGGATATAGAAAGAGAGAAATATATATTGATGCCCCAGCCACTTTGTTGACAGCTTAGCAGCTGCCACAAGAGACTATGAAGACCTTAGTACCTTGGCCTTGCATACAAGATCATTGAAGTTATCATTGTCAGCCAATGCCTGCTACTGGTCATTACAGGACACAATGTGCAGGTTGGGCTTAGGGATGTGCTTACATGCAGCCTTGCAGACCTTGTTTATTAGTGCAGTGGTTAATACTGTCCTGTGCAGCACATAATCATAACCACTATTGATATTACAATTATCAGTGCCATCCACACTGTCTATTGCCTTGTTATACAGAAGATGCTCAAACTTGGGCCATGGAAAAGACAGTCATGTTGGTATATAGTGCCTGAATAATATATTTGCCTGCTATGCACTAAGCATATCAAGATCATCTCTAACAATCTTGTGCTTATTTATACATAGGCATGCTATATATATACCCTTGTCCTCATCCTCCATCTCACTAGTGGCTATTTGGAAAACCCCTCTCTCTTATTAGATCTTAATGATTGATAATTATTAATGATACTAATTTGAGCTAATTATAGCTAATTATTCATAATTATGTTTTTGATCAAATTTGCAAATTAAGGCAGCATTATTAATACTAGTAGAGTCCCATTGAATATTATACTTAATCATAGTTTTACATATTCTAAATCCAAATTATGTCAGTGCCACAATTTGTTTTTACCATATATAAAGTGTATTATTTATTTCCTATTGGTTTATTATTTTCTTAGCTGGTGTTTAAACTAAATCCTGAAAGACCTGACTTTTTAGGTATTTATTGACCTATTTATTTATTAGATAAAGAAAAGATAAATGTTGAGTAAATTAGAGATGTTGAGGTTGCCTATATTATGTTCACTTATCTAGATTACCAAGCTCATATATTAGACCTTGTGGCTTAGTGGCTTAGAGCATCTGTCCCAGGTGCTTGTATACATGAGGTTGTTGGTTCAACTCTGGCAAAAGGCAAGTTTGTTATAAGGTATATTCTGTGTTTAGGTATTTAAATAGTGCTCTAATAGACATGACTCTATAAAAAGGCTATGAGAATTGTGATGCTTGATTTATTATTATTATTCCGAAATTTCAAGTTATAATCAATCCTAATAATTCCTAATTTAGGAAAATTATGTCTAATTAAAACAGGTTTAGAGGGGGGGTAAGCTAAAAATGTCTAATCCTAATTGTTCTTAATTATGCATAAATAGAACTAATTAGAGCTTAATACAAATGGGTGGTTTTCCAGATAAAGAATGAACATTAGCATAGTTCACCTTTCCCTACCTACTACTCCACTCATTGTTACCTCCTCACCTAAGTCATCTATAATATCCAGGCTCTGTAAACCCTGAGTGACTGCAGAACAGTATAAGCTTATAATTTGATTTAGCACCAAGTTATTTAAGACATCCTTACCTTGTAAAAACCCAAGTTGTCTGAGATGTGCTTATACTATAAGCCTGACCCAAGTTGTTTATAATGTCCATGCTCTGTAGACCTTGTAAGCCTGATCCAAGATGTCTGTGACGTCTGTGCTCTATAATCCCTGGGTGACTGCAGAAGACTATCAGCTCACTTTTTAATTCAGCACCAAGTTATCTGAGATGTCCTTACCTTATAAACCTAACTTGAGTCATCTGTAATGTCCACATTCCATAAATACTAGGTGACTAAAGAAGAGTGTGAGCTCACTCTTTGATTCAAAACTGAGTTGTCTGAGACATCCCTACCCTGTGGGCCTAAACCAAGTTGTCTGGGACATCCTTACCTGGTAAGCTAGACCCAAGTCGTCTGTGATGTCCTGACCTGAGTTGTCTGTGACATCCTAACCTAAGTTATCTGCAACATCAGCTCTCTATAAACCCTGCGTGATGGCAGAACAAGTGAGCAAGAATTTTGTTCAGCAACAAGTTGTCTGTGATGTCCTTACCCGGTAAGCCAGACCCAAGTTATCTGTAACGTTTTGACCCAAGGCGTCTGTGATGTCCTAATCCGAGGCGTCTATGACATCCTAATCTAAGGCATCTGCGACGTCCTGACCTGACTTGTCTGTGACATCCTGACCTAAGTCATCTGCAACGTCAGCTCTCTGTGAACCCTGCGTGATAGCAGAACAGGTAAGCAAGAATTTCATTTAGCAACAAGTCATCTGTGATGTCTTTACCTAGTAAGCCAAACCTGAGTTGTCTGCGACATCCTGACCCGCGTTGTCTGCGATATTTTGACCCAAGTTGTCTGTGATGTCCTGATCTGAGTTGTTTGTGACATCACCTCTCTGCAAACCCTGCATAATGGCAGAACAGGTGAGCAAAACTTTAGTTCAGCAATAAGTCGTCTGTGACGTCCTTACCCTGTAAGTCTAACCTGAGTCGCCCATGTCATTCTTGTAGTGCTGAATACAACAACTTGTAATCAAGCAATAATTTATTCTAACCTCTCTTCCTAATCTTATGTTCGTCTTTTCATTATAGAGCAAATTTGTGAGGACCCACTATCAAAGTCAAATTAGTTCAACATGCACAGCTCTCGAAGATACAACTGTACCACCACTATACTGGGATGGCACTGTTACGATACTGCAACCATATTGTCACACTACAGCATTTGTTAAGTCACTGCGACAATTAAGTAATAGTCTTAGGTTACTATAAGCCTGACCCAGGTCTTTTGCAAGGTTAGTGCTCTGTCAATTATTTTGTGAGATAAGACACATAATTTCTGACAAGACCCTACCCAGACCTGTTACTTGTAGTAGAGCAGAGGCAGAGGGTGAGCCAGTCATCACCCAAGCTCACTCACAGTGTCTTGTAGAGCATCACAATAGGACCGGTGATGTGTGTGTGCCAATGAGTTCATGTGTCGATGCCATACCCTCAATATCTGAAAAACGGAGGGGAGAGTTCATGCCCAAGGGGTAGAAATAGCTAGTGGCGACTATAAGCAGGATAAGAGTGAAACTGAGGGAAGAGATATTCAGCACAAGCAGAAAATAAATCAACAATGAAAGTATCTACCTTGAGGCAGTTCCAAGAATCATAGCAAAAGTCTGAGGTTGGTGGATGAGGTGTGGATGGAGCAAGGATGGATTAGCACTTGTCAACTTGGCAAGATTGTAGCAGATTGTGGTGTTGCATCTCATTTGGTGTGATTGCGTCGCAGGACACAACGTGACTGTGTCATGGCAATGTTTTGCCTACCTCCTTGTCCTGCCTCAGTTCTACCCATCTTCTTTATGTCCTGTCCCATATCGCTCTTCATTACCCCATGCTCTTTCTGATGGTCTCTCATTGCTTCAACTTCTAGCTATTGCAGCTAGGATCTTTCCCACCAGTAAGCAAACTCAAATAGCTCTCCTTGGAAGCTCAGTCTCATATTCACTTAGCAGCAGACAACCTACCCACGCACACAAATCCCTCCCTCTCCCTCTCGTTCTCTTAGAAATTTCCGCCTTTTAAGCATAAAAACCCATCTCTGTTCTTTAGATGTAAGCTGCCTTTGATGAATGACTGGCTCACCGACCATGCACCTGGTGGAAGACCAGGACAAGGATGATGGACTCTAGTGGGACCATGCACCTGGCAGAAGACTAGGACAAGGACAATGGACTCTAGCAGCAGATAGGGGGAACAGACCCAGAATCTTTCTGAGGATGCAGGTATGTCGTTATTCATACCAATTCTTCCTGAGATACGCACATTCATAAATCTCATCCTTGCCCGAATAGCTGAAGAGGCACATCCTCCCTTCCACCAGTGACCCTTGAGCTTATGTGGAAACTATCTGCATGCCATGGACATTGCAGCTGACGTGGACATCACATATGGCACAAACGACACATGCATAGCATGTCAAATGCTCCAATGAGTCCAACTTGGGCACTGAGGGCAGATGGCTATACATCATGGTCAGTCTTGTTTATCTGTGTCTCTGCACAATCTATGAGTTGCTCCGATTATTTAGTGCATTGTCCACACCTCCCACCCTTCTGCAATGAACCCCTATGTCATGGGAGAAGCTCAATATCGGTGAGTTTAGTTATTTTTTACTGCTCAAAATTGAGCTGATATGACAATATGATATAGCCATAGGCCTGTGTTTCAGGGGGATAAATGGGCATCATCAATGTGAGTGTGATGGCCATTACCTAATCTCACCAGGTGCGACACATGGCCAGCCACGCTGAGCACCAACCTGCAGGCAGGCGCGATGGCAAGCAGGGATTATGAGTATAATGCATCCACATTGCCTCTGAAGTCCTTGAGGCATGTCTGTGTGGAGTGGGTTTCACCTCAAGTATGGTGTGAGGTGAGAATTTGTATGTAAGCACCTTGTATCGCCCTTTCACAGAGTCTAACCTTATCTTTATAAATGAATGAAAACACAAAAAACTTGTGGCTTGAGCGATAGAACATACTTTGCATGGAGCAGCCGTTTGACCCTGATGACTCGATGCATCAATAGATTGGCAATGTGAAGGTTTAGAGAGCCTTTACTGAATTCCAGAGTGGTGTCAAGTTTGGCAAGGAAGACACCCTACAGGTGGGGCAAGGGCTATATAATCGCCATCACACCAGCCAGCACTTTTCTAGCTAACAGTTGATCTATCCCCCCTCCACCATTTTTACTGTCTGCCCTACCCCCACTTACCATATTGCCTCTTTGTTGTCCTTCCTACCCGTCTTGCCCCACCTCTGCTAAGCATGGCATCATTACCAAAGCATTACCAGATTGCCCCGCAACACTTAATATATGGTCACAACCTAAAAATGGAATTCTCGGACTGGCTGTGGAAAAGGTTTTTCTACTGGGCAAGGCTCAGACAGGTTAGGCTCATCTTGTGTACTAAAGTGTGTGCATCATTTTCTTCCTCATGTGCAATTCTGACCAGCCCCCATCAGTCCAATTCGAACCCTCATATTTTGTTCTTTGAGGCCCCAAATGGCATTTTTATCACCAACATCCAAAAAGAGGTAAAGGAGGTCTTGGATGTGTCGGTGATATGCTAAAGGTGGCTCTAAGTGCTAAGCACAACACCAAAACAACCTCTAATGCAGGGGTGCTGGAGCTAGTATCTAATACACAAGGAATCATTAGTGAGGACTTTAGAAATTGATGGTGCACTGTGAAGCAGCAAGAAGTGTGAGATTATAGCGCCCGAACGGTTTCAGGACTGCACCAAACACTGACTGAACGTTCGGTTAGTTGTGTCAGCAATTTGGTCGGTAACGAGAAGGTAGTATCGCGACCGACAACTACGTGCTTCAAGAGCCACACGGGACTCTGACAATACACAAGGAAGAACAAGGAGTACAAGCGAAGAGACGAGTACAAATGCAAACAAGGCCAAACGATGAGAATGACAAGTTTTTGGGAGTCAATGAAGACGATTTTGATGGTTGAGATGAGTGTGAATGAGCTCTAAACTATGGGGTGTGAAAGCTGGTTTTCCAGAGTTTGTATATAGGGTTTTTATAGTAAACAGTGCCCCTAAGTAAAATATCAAACACGAAATAAGAGTAGATGTCAAATGAGTGCCAAGCCCTAGCGATCAGAAAAGATAAGAAGGTAGGTAAGATGTCCATATGGGTTTCAAAGGTGATAAGGTAAAAGGTAATCAGTGATGTCAAAATCCTGAACATTTGGGATCTATTGCCCAAGTGTAGGTAGCAGGAACAGGTATTAGTGAGCCAAGGATAATAAAGAAGAAGTAACATACAACTAGGATGGCCAAGTAATGGTGCAAAATCACCTTTGACCAACCATGTGGAAGTCAGGAAGATAAGCGATAAGGACTGACTAACTCATGGAGAACATTGGCCGACACGGAATACTGGCTCTAATCCCGTAAACACCTATTGTAACACTCCTGTGTGGTCATGGTAAGTATGTGAAATGTGGGCGAACTGACCTAAGTGCTGCTGAACATCCCTCAGAGGGTTGTGGTTGGTCGGGTAGGGACTGACCATGTTTGGTGCAAGTTAGCATCTTTAGTACTCGTCTATGCTATTTGGTATCTCCCCAAAGCTTCCCAAATACCTCCCTCGGACCCTAGCGCGGATGAATGCTCATCACCGGAATATGCGCAAGACGTCTATTCGACCTAATGGCTTCTGGAGGAGTCCGGTTGGGATGTAAGCTTAGATCTGGATGTGTTGCTACATTTGGCAGCAACTAAGCACACTATGGTAGGGCAGCTGGAGAGAGTGATGGGCTGTAAGGGATTAGGCCAGGCTATCTGCTAGACAGAGATGCTAGTGAACGCCCCCACAGGAATTACTGATTAGGGTTGGGCTATTCTTGATTTAGAGGCATCATTGAATACCCCCTTGGTAAACAAGGTTAAGAATGGGAATGCCGTGGTAGATAGAGATGTCCCTATTGACAACACTCACACATTTGACAGCAACAACAATGCATTAGACACAGAGGCAGAAACCTTTGCTCTCAAGCAGAGGGGCGAGCATGTCCAAGACTCTGAAGGCCTATTCCCTGTTATAGGCCCTAGCAACTAACAGTGCCACATCAAATGGCTCATGGTGCCCTCTCATGTGCAGGCTACCATATTGGCACCTGTTCAAAATCAAGAGGGTGGTCGAAGCCATGCAGGTCATCAAAGAGTTGAAGGCTTAGTAGAAGTAATTGACTTGACCTACCTCTCCGACTAAACTATAACACATAACTTTTAAGCTGCTTTAATTACTTTTTTCATGTCCTCTTTTAGATATGTAGGCGAGAGATCTGCCTAGGGAAGCAATACTCTGGCTTTCACTTGCACTAAGTCGACACCTCAAGAGTCTGATGGCTAATTAAGAACAACTGCTCCCATATGTTGTCCAAGACAACTCTATGCACAATGATTCCATCAAGCAGTTAGGTTAGCAGCTGATGTCCAAGATGACTGCTTATAGCTAAGGAATTAGTACAAACCGGCAACCTACACGTTTCCAACACTCACAAGTTCAACAAATCCAATTACACATAGGCTCTGCCAGACTTGAAGCGGGTGTTTTCAAAGGCATCATTCATTTATATACAGCAACAACAAATTTACTCGAGCCCATAACAGATACTGTGTCAGAATGAAATGAATCTTGGACAGTAAATGACCTCACCACACGCACAGTAAATGACCTCACCACACGCATGTTTAGTCTATGCTAAGAGATAAGCTGCAAGGACAATGGGGCAGGGTTTGTTAGGACAGGTGTAGAGAAAGAACAGATAAGAAAGACAAAGTAACTCACAGGTGAGAGATCTTGAGCTTCTTAAAGGTAGTTGTCTTCTAACCCCTCCTCAGGTTCAAACCATGCTGGGCCTCAATGAGGATTCATAAATATGTTCGGGGTGCTATTGTTGCTTGTCCTAGGCTTCAGCCCCTTGGGTACTCACTAACCTGCTTTCCAGGGATGATAGTCCTACACGCAAAAGGGAGACACTTTCGGGATCTAGGCCAGCCCCACCTATTTCTTCTATAACGCTTTTTTAACCTGGTTTTGATCGATGTTGTTGTCCATCTTGTTCTTAATCAAGTCCCACCAGGAGTTGTAGTACTGGCAGAATCGCCACTCTATTGCACTCAGAGGAATGACATATCTAGGCATGGGGAAAAAGTACCCAAACTAGTGCCTTTACTCATCAGTAGCTGCCTGCCTCCAGAATGCTGCATGGAACATGGTTGCAAGATTGTCATTAAGTATCCAGTCAAGGTCTATATTTTTATACTTATCTGCAGTCAGTTGGAGGTAGGTTGGGAGGTTGCTGTTTTTTGGGACTGCTGCTTTCTGATACCAGTTAGACCAACATTAGTACCAGATTTTAGTGAGCAACTAGTTGATCGTCATGGGTAGGTGATCGAAATGAAGCTTATTGTTATCATCGCCATTGTCCTATATGCAAACTTCGTGAAGGTTGTTTAATTTGGGAAACAATGTGGTTCCAGCCTCCATAGTGCATCAACCAGGGATCTCCTTCCAAGAGGTGGCGTGCTTGGTCACAACAGTCGGCACAGGCGGGACACAGCATGTAGAGTTGTATCTCCTCTGGAGTGAATCAAAGTCCATCTTGAATACCAGCTTGTAGGTCGTAAATGCAAGGGTTTGGCCACTATACAAGCGAGGACAAGGAGAGTCGTCTGGGATGCTGAGAATGTGGAGGAAGAACGTGCCGTGTGACTAGGCCAGCTTCCCTTAATCCTCCACAGCCATAACAATGACATCACCATCATCATCCTCGATCTCATGCTCATTTTGTGCATTGCCATCGAATCCAAGCATGAGCATGGCATTGTCGGTGGACATGGTTATGTCCTTTCCAGCCTTGGTATTGTCTGGACGGCTGTAGAGGCTGTTCATCAACTAGACAAGGTCTGCCATCAGAGTTCGCATATGGTGTGAGGCAGTGCTCTACCATTACTGTGATCTGATAGCTCAGCAGGGTCAAGATAGCCTGGAGACGAAGTATGTGCCATGCCCTGTTGTAAGCAGATTAGTATCAGGCTAGAACTATCGTGGTTAATAGATTGTCTTACCACCACCAAGCTCTGGGAAGCTTCAGCAAAGATCTGACTATGACAGCCTGGCTCAAAGAGGTTATGGTGGTCAAGGCGAATTGGATGGGAATATAGACCTCAACTTAAGCATTGTATGGGATGTTTTCCTATGCGTTCTGATAGATGCTTATCAAACCAATGCAGTGTTGCAGAATGCAAGTGGACTTGTCTGCATTCATTGTTATAAGGGCAGTGATGAATTTACCATGTTGACCTTGTTTTGGGTAATAGATGATGGACTTGTCTATTGTGTACATCTGGAAGTATGCACACTCGAACTCACTAATACTGCTGTTGTAGAAATCAATGTGGCACCCACTAATGGCAGGAAGGTGCACATCATGTGTAACCATGCCTGCCTGGATTAGTTTGGATCGCAGCAGTCACCTTCAACACATTGAGGACAGATTGCAGGAGGTACGCATGAGCATTAGTTTTCCAAAGAAAGGCCTGTCCTAGGTGCAAGATTTCTATCCCAATATCGGTCTATCGCTGTCCTGTGTGTGTTACCAAACTCTCGGTGAAGTCCTCAAATGCAGCTTGTGCCAAGCTTGGTACCACGCACTTGCCACATAAATTTAGTGTATTGCCCCCAAGGTATCTCATTCAGATGATGCCATATTGAATCAAAAAAGTCGTTGATATGAAATACAGCAACAATCTAAACAAAGTTGTGATCAGAACATGATGAAAAAACTGGCAGGAGAAAATTACCCTGGTTCACCAAGAAAACCCGTCTTCCTATTTGCAAAGTCGAAAGTGCTCGGCCCTAAGCCTGGCTAGCCAATCCAAGGTTGGCTGTGGCATAACAGTACATGCAGATGGGTATATGACATCGTGTTGTTTGTGGCTGTTCTAGTTGGTGTAGCATCCATGCCACATGCGTGCCACCTTTGGGACTCATTGATTACTCGCCTCTACAGCTGGGAGCGGCCCTACAGCCGTTCCCAGAGCAGGTATATTGCTTTCTTTCTCCATTTGGACTGTTTCACTTTGTTTTCACCTTGTCTTATCTTGTTTCAGTTGTTTCACCGGGTTAGCCGGCTGAGGCGGTCCTGTGTCATGTCATTGACACTCCGGACCGACCTCCAGGTGGAGCTTTTGACCGCTTTGTAAGATGTTTCACATGTAATGACCTGTTGATGTCATACCTTCCTATTTCGTTTCTTATTGTTCTGTGTAGCTTAAATACCCGTGGTCCGAGGGCGATTCTTTCCTCAGACTCTTACCCTCTGGACCACAGGTGCGCTCCCCTCTGTTCTTTGTGTCTATTTAGACTCTCACCCTCTGGATCACAGTCCTGTCATTATAGAGCTTCTTTTTGGCACTCTCTCTGTGCCAGTCGCTTCGTTGTCACTGCACTCAACAGGTTATGGGCCCTGCGCTCTAGCGACTTTGCTCTACATCGTTTTATCCACACTTTCTGGTCTCCCATCTGCTGTGCCACTCCTTTCTGGCCACACCCCATTGCTGCCACATCTTCCCCATTGCTTTCCCTGCCTTTCCCATCGTCCCACATCGCTTCCAACACCTTTCCTTGCTTATGCCACTCGTGCCACACCATGTCTGACCCCTCATTCGCTCTCCCTTCCATCTCCCCTCTCAATAATCGCAACTATCCTTCCTGGTCTAAGGAGATCAAGGCCTGGCTTCGTCTCAAAGGCCTGTGGATTCTGGTCTCTGGTGATGAGACAGCCCCTGTTGGCACAAAGGAGAAGCCTGCTGAGGCAAGGGAGGTGGCAGAGTGGAAGAGGAATGCTCAGAAGGCTACTAGTGCGCTCTTACTTTCAGTTAAGGAGCAGTTCAGAGGCATCTTGGAGGGCATTGAGGACGACCCCATTGCTATTTGGACCAAACTGGAGGAGCAGTTCAATAAGAAGTCTGCTGGATCGCGTTTCAATGCGATGGAGGACCTCTTTTCGATCAAGAAGCGCAACGATGAGTCCCTCCAATCCCTCATTCATCGTGTGGACGAGTCTATGCGCGTCCTGAAGAACCTCCGCGACTCTGGCTTCGATCTCAAGAAGCAGGACGAGGAGCTCACTTGCATGGCCCTCTTGTGGTCTCTCCCCTCCGAGTTTGACACTTTCTGCTCCTCCCTCAGTCTCATGGACGTCTTGTCTCGTTCCAAGCTCGAGGACGCGTTCAGGCGCGAGGATTTGAACCGTGCCCGTCGTTCTGATCCCACAGACTCTGCACAGGCCCTTGTGGCATCCTTTGCTTCATCCCCCTCCTCTTCCTCCACCTCCTACAGACGTTCTAGGCCACCCAGGAAGCAGTACAAGTGCGACTTCTGCGGTGCCACTGGCCACACTGATGACAGGTGCTTCAAGAGGATCAATGAGGAGCTGAAGAAGTCCAAGCCACAGCAGGCCCACTCGGTTCAGGCCCCTGAAGCCTCTGGTCCCATGCAGTTTGCAGGCAATGCAAGTTTTCGTTCCCCTGCTCCATCCCCTTCATCCACAGCCCCCTCACTCGTCACTGACCTCGATTGGAATGCGGACACAGGTGCGACCTCTCATATGACGCCCCATCGCCACTGGCTTCGCAACTATCGTCCCTTCGTCATCCCCATTCGTCTTGCAGACTCGTCTGTCATTTATTCTGCTGGTGTTGGGACTGTGGTGTTCAATCCAGTTGTTGGAGGCAAGAGGGCGCAGTCTGTGGAGTTCTCAAACGTCCTGCATGTCCCTGATCTTGGCTGTAATCTCCTATTTGTGCTGTATTTGACTCAGCACAAGCACTTCTCTATGCTAATAGAAGGATCTTCAATGCATTTCTCCTGGGACGGTGCAGTGTGGTTCATGGCAGTCATTCCTGATGGTTCCAACAATGCATATCTTCAAGGGACCACCTCCACCGTTGTTTTGCAGTCTGCTGGTGCCGCTTCTACTCTCCCTCTTGACTTGTCCCTGTGGCATCGTCGTCTCTGCCACCACCACCATGCTGGAGTGCAGAGGATGGTCAAGGAATGTCTCGTTACTGGTCTACAGCTCGATTCGGACGTGCAGCCTGACCCTGTGTGCGAGCCCTGTCTCTCTGGCAAGATGCACGCTCACCCCTTCCCCTCCACTGGCTCTGTGACCTCCAAACCGCTTGAACTCGTCCACTCTGATCTCCACGGTCCTCTCCCTGTTGCCACTCACTCTGGAATGCGCTACTGGATCACCTTCATTGATGAGTTCACCAAGCTCAAGGTGGTCTATGTCCTGCGCTTGAAGAGCGACGCGTTTGAGGCTTTCAAGCACTACAAGGCCTATGTGGAGAACCTGACTAGACAGTGCATTTTGGCTTTGCAGGATGACAAGGGAGGAGAGTACATGTCTAATGCCTGGGACTCATTTTGTTTGGAGCATGGGATTGCTAGGAGGCACACGGCGTGCAATCGGCCACAGCAGAACGGCGTGGCAGAGCGTGCCAATCGCACCATCATGGAGGCCCTCACTGCCATGCTCTCTGAATCGCATTTGCCGCTTGCTTTCTGGGGCGAGGCTCTGGCTGCTTATGTGCACGTCTGGAATCGACTCTGGACATCTACCCTAAAGGGCAAGACGCCATTTGAGATGGTCCATGGGAAGAAGCGGGACATTTCGCACTTGCGGGTCTGGGTGTTAGCATCAAAGTGGCGAGTCCCAGGAAAGAATCGCTCATCAAAGTCTGCCCTTTCCGAAATGATGACCTTCTGAGTCGCAGGATTGTAGAACTTCCACGCCTTGTAGCCATCAAGGTACCCAATAAACACGCACTTCTCCATATGCGATCCAAATCCATCCCTTTTGTCCCTCTGCACATGCACATAAGCCAAGCAGCCCCAGTCTGCCACCCCTCCTCCTTCGTCTCTGTTCAGTCTTTGGGATGCTGATGTGGATCCGGTGCCAGTCCTGGGGGGGGGAAGCAGATGCTCCTCCTCATGCTGGTCACCTCGAGGACGCTCCCATCGATCAGGATCATCCTGTGGCAGACCCAGCACCTCCTCCACCTCTTGCTCCTGTCGTTGTCCCTCCTGATGCTCCCCCTCCTGTCATTCCAGCGCCACCTCCTGCTCTTAGAACGCGCTCCAGGAATCGCTCTGCTACCCCTGAACCAGGCCCATCTGTTACTCGACGCTCTACTCGCACTCGTCGCGCTCCTGGGGAATGGTGGAAGGTTAGGACACTGTCTGCAGACAATGATGCTTATTCGGACACTGCTGAGGACGCCCCTGACGCTTCTGGAGAGGCAGAGATGGAACCTATTGTTGAGGACACATTTCTGGCTGAAGTCGAGCGTGCCCTGTTCACCTCTGGTGCTGAAAAGGCTGAGCCCTCGACATATCGTCAGGCAATGAAGCGCCCTGATGCAGATCAGTGGCAGAAGGCGGCAGAGGAAGAGATGGAGGCTCATGCTCGGAATCGGACCTGGGACATTGTTCCACTCCCTGAGGGCTGTAAGGCAATTGGTTCTCGTTGGGTTTTCAAGGTGAAGCACAACACGGATGGCTCTGTCGAGCGCTACAAGGCTCGTCTCGTCGCCAAGGGCTTCAGTCAGCGCCCTGGGTTTGATTACTTCGAGACATTCACCCCCACAGCCAAGTTTGCAGCCATTCGCGCCATCCTTGCTCTTTCTGCCCTCGAGGACTTTCACCTGCGCTCTGTCGACATCTCCCATGCGTTCATCAATGGCGATCTGGACACTGTGGTGTACATGGAGCAGCCTGAAGGATTTGAGCAGGGAGGACCTGAGATGGTGTGTCGCTTGATGAAGGGCTTGTATGGGCTGAAGCAGGCGAGTCGGCTGTGGTACTGTTGAGCGCAGTGACAACAAAGTGACTGGCACAGAGAGAGTGCCAAAAAGAAGCTCTATAATGACAAGACTGTGGTCCAGAGGGTAAGAGTCTAAGTAGATACAAAGAACAGAGGGGAGCGCACCTGTGGTCCAGAGAGTAAGAGTCTGAGGAAAGAATCGCCCTTGGACCACAGGTATTTAAGCTACACAGAACAATAAGAAACGAAATAGGAAGGTATGACATCAACAGGTCATTACAGGTGGTCCACCTTACAAAGCGGACAAAAGCTCCACCTGGAGGTCAGTCCGGAGTGTTAATGAGATCACACAGGACCGCCTCAGCCGGCTAACCCGGTGAAACAACTGAAACAAGGTGAGACAAGGTGAAAACAAAGTGAGACAGTCTAAATGGAGAAAGAAAGCAATATATCCGCTCTGGGAACCGCTGTAGGGCCGCTCCCAGCTATAGAGGCGAGTAATCAATGAGTCCCAAAGGTGGCACCCATGTGGCATGGATGCCACATCAACCAGAATGGCCACAAACAACATGACAAAGGCTGTTCCACCTAGGAAGGTGAAGATTTGCTGCAGCCTGATGGGACTAGAGGATCTGCCGCATTAGGAGGGTGTTTTGGACGCTGTAGAGGCGTGCAATCAGGAGTGTGTGGCCATTCTGGTTGATGTGGCATCCATGCCACATGCGTGCCACCTTTAGGACTCATTGATTACTCGCCTTTATAGCTAGGAGCGGCCCTACAGCCACTCCTAGAGCGGGTATATTGCTTTCTTTCTCCTTTTGGATTGTCTCACCTTGTTTTCACCTTGTCTTACCTTGTTTCAGTTGTTTTACTAGGTTAGCCGGCTAAGGCGGTCCTATATGATGTCATTGACACTCCAGACCAACCTCCAGGTGGAGCTTTTGACCGCTTTGTAAGGTGGACCACCTATAATGACCCGTTGATGTCATACCTTCCTTTTCGTTTCTTATTGTTCTGTGTAGCTTAAATACCCGTGGTCCGAGGGCAATTCTTTCCTCAGACTCTTACCCTCTGGACCACAGGTGTGCTCCCTTCTGTTCTTTGTTTCTACTTAGACTCTTACCCTCTGGACCACAGTCCTGTCGTTATAGAGCTTTTTTTTGGCACTCTCTCTGTGCCAGTCGCTTCGTTGTAACTGCGCTCAATATCTTTGCCATGGGAATTTGTAATTTCCCTAGCTAATACACCACTTAATATTTATTTCTGGGATTCCAAAATCAGCAATCTTAACAGTGTCTTCAGCCAAGGTGCATTTTTTAGCTGCCAAACATACACACCCACTGACTACTATACAGATATCCTCTGTAGTGGTGAGTGGTTCTCAGTTATTGTCTTAAGGGTGCCCTATAGCTCAAGTACAAGGAGTAAGATTTCTCAAGTCTCTTGCATCTGACTTAGGCTACTAATGGCAACCTTTTCTGCCATTAGACTCTAGTAACTGCCCAGGCTACCAGATGCTCACTGAGCATGTGCACATGAAGTATAGTCACAATGCTAATGACAAGAACCTCCCATAGACACCGAAATTTGGCATAATCTATGGTGTAAGGAGAGCAGTACCTTCTAAAGTGTTCATGAGGTGTTTATCCAGTTAGTGCAAAAGTCACAGCTCCTCCCCCTGAATGTATCCTTGGCCTTAGACCTTTCTGCTTTTTGCTCATTTTGTTTAGGCTTTTATGTGTAATAAGATGTTTTATATTATAGTATTTGAATAAACAGCCAAGAGGATTTGTATAAACTCTTTTGAGGGTGTCTGTAATGTTCAAGTGGTATTCCTACTAATCTAGTCTAACCTGTGACTGACCCAAATGCCACCTGTATATCGTCTATGCCATATAGTTACATAGATTAAGCTTTTTGCAAAAATTATTTTTTCTTTTTAATATACATATGTTTGTTCATACAACACTGATAAAAGCTAGACTGATTTCTATCTGCTTGACTTCAGCCACTCAACTACCCAGCTACTCCTTGTCTTCACAGCTCTTATTTGATTGTCAACTATGCTGCCTGCCTCATGTCCCCTTTATCCATACAATATCATTAAGTTCATCAAGGGATACCTGGACCTCATACTGGGCAACAATCCTGATGAGGACGATGAGGATGAGGCTGCCAACTGTGCCAGATATGACGTGCATGCTTTATCCTTTGCACTAACTGGCCAGCATTTAGAATATTATCATCGGGTGGTGATTACAGCCTCTTAACCATCAGCTCTTACCCAACATACCTTACACCATCCAAAGGGATTATGATTCCCTGCTAGGCTTTACAGATCAGAGCATCTGGATCAACCTCCCCATTAATGTGTTCATGGCTCCTTGGGAAGAAGAAACGTTGAAGTCAAACATTCATGTTGAGGTTTCCTTCCAAAAGGGACCAGATTTGGTGAGTGGAGTTTTCTAATTATCCTGGTCACATGTGAACCTAATGACTGCTCCCATTCTGCTCCATCACATAGCTATCTCCATACTTGTTGCCGAACCTGTTGTTTGTGGCTGTTCGAGTTGATGTGGGATGGGTGCCACATGCATGCCACCTTTGGGACTCATTGATTACTCGCCTCTACAGCTAGGAGCAGCCCTACAGCCACTCCTAGAGCGAGTATATTGCTTTCCTTCTTTATTTGGACTGTCTCACTTTGTTTTTATTGTTTTACTGGGTTGGCTGACTCAGGTGGTCCTGTGTGATGTTATTGACACTCCAGACCAAGCTACAGGTGGAGCTTTTGACCACTTTGTAAGGTAGACCACCTATAATGACCTGTTGATGTCATACCTTCCTTTTTCGTTTTCTTATTGTTCTCTGTAGCTTAAATACCCATGGTCCGAGGGCGATTTTTTCCTCAGACTCTTACCCTCTGGACCACAGGTGCGCTCCCTTCTGTTCTTTGTTTCTACTTAGACTCTTACCCTTTGGACCACAGTCCTGTTGTTATAGAGCTTCTTTTTGGCACTCTCTCTATGCCAGTCGCTATGCCAGTCACTTTGTTGTCACTGCGCTCAACAAGCAGGTGCACTGCCTAACTACCATAAGGGTTTGTTAGAGAGATTGCATGGGTAAGACTGTTTACATTAAACCACATACTAGAAAATATATAAAAGTCTGAGTCATAGTTTGAGCTATACAGAGAATACTCATAGAGAGCCATCTTGACAGAAGGTAGATGGAGTAGGCACATAAGAGGAAACATAGGCAATTGGCCACACATGAAGCAGAAATGGCAGCAGTAATACAATACCACCTTTTTCTCAAGCTTGGCAAACATATCATTTTGCACTTTTCACATATTCTGTTGAGGAAGAGAGGGTTTTGATGCAGCCAAGCTTTCATTGCAAAGAACATGCATTCAATTGCAGCTCGATGCACATGCCAGTTAAGGAATATGAGCCAGTCCTACGCATTATGCTCTAGCTGATCCCAAATCTTGTACTTATTGTTCTAGATGCACATGATTGTATACTGATGAGGGCAAGATGGGTCGCTCTATTCTAGGTCATAAAGGTGTGGCACTGCATCCTGGTCCAATACTAGAAATTCTAGGTGAAACATGGTCACTGAGATTTCCCAAGTAAGCTCTACCTACAAATTCTCATCTTTATAGGCCTGATCAAAGTTCATAATTCTATTCTACCATGTCAGAAGTGGCTAGGCATTAGGGCAATAAGGGCTGAATGTGCTATACACCCCAAACCAGACATTGATGTTACTTCATGAGCCACCTGACAAGATGCTACTCTATATTGTTTAGCTTAACATTGCTGTCTCCTCCGGTATTAGAATGAGTGTGCTTTCCTATGGTTGACTGAGCTTCAAGAAGGTGTCAGATATCTTGTCATGATAATTGTGGGATTGCTGACATTTTAGGCATGATTTGTTATATACTATTACTAAGTAAAGTAAGATGATGATAACTAGTTGAGAAAATGAGGTGCAATAACAGATCTCCTTGTCTGAGAATAGAGAATAATTTTTTTGAACACTTTTCAGTATTTATGCAAGGTATTTATATAAGGATAATTATGCAATAGTTCATGATATGCTTATTGTGATAATTGCATGATCAGTAATATTTTAAGCAGAATTTACCATATAATGTTACCAAGTGAAGTGAAGTGATGATAGTTAGTTGAGAGAATAAAGAGGCAAAAGATTAGATCTCCTTGTCCAAGAATAAAGAATGATTTTGTTGGACACTTTTCAGTATTTATGCAAAGGTAGTTATATGAGGACAATTGATTATATGAGGACAATCACACAACAGTCTGCAATATTCTTGTCATAATAATTGAGTAATTGATAATGTTTTAGGTGTAATTTACTATACTATAGAATATAATATAATACTGCAAAATAAACACTATAGTGACTACTCTTATTATAATAACATATATAATATCCAAAAAGAGTGACTATATAGCTAGTATATAACAGTGTATTATGCCTAAATATGAGACACTAGTAACCTAGTATGACCTTATAGAAATATGCTCATTAAGGCTTGCTTTTATAAAAAAAAGGACAAAAGAGATCTATTTATAACTTTTACACCTAAAAGTAAAGGTCTAGTAAGCACAAACTATTCTATAGTATAATATCTAACACATTCTTGGTTATATATCTTATAGATACTAGACCTCCTTCTATCTAGATCAACTCTAGCATTAATGCTGACCTAAGTCTGCTAGTGCCACAAGATCTATATTCTAAGATTCTCCAAGAACTTTTTCTTTAATACCAATAAAATTAACCTAATTTGTCTATACTAACTAGTATACATATTCCACTAACATAGCAAGGGTCTAGATATCTCATAGGCCATCTATATATTATGGATATAAGTAAGGTCTTATCTTTCACCTAATACATAGCTGGCAATCCTAGTAAATATATGGCTTTGTAACAAAATTAAGAATAAAGATATGTATCTTTATTTCTGCCTAGAAGAATAGACTTTGTGGGCTAGCTAGCATAGTAAGTCTTTATAATTAATGCTCTCCTACTATTTAAGTTTTAACTAGTCTAGCAAGTAAGTCTATATATATAAGATATTTATAATACCTAGCCATAATATCTTACTTTTATAAATTATACTAATAGATGGCCAAAAGAGCTATGTACTCTTGGATGGGTAACTGGTGCAATAGCAATAGCTTATACATAGTTGATGGAAGTACAGTGACAATAATAGTAAGTCTTAATAAGCTAGGAAAACTGAATCCCACAAAGAGTGCCATATAGACTATCTAGATATACTATATTCTTATTCCTCATATCTTTCTATAAAATTTATTATATAGGAATAGCCAAGTATAAGGCAATGCTTTATAGCATGAAAATATCTTGATTGTAGCTGAGGTAATAATAACACATTATCTAATATATAATATCTCAAATATTAAGACTATCTATATAGCCATCTTTAATTACAAAGGCAATATATATCAGAGAAAAGCTCTATATTAAATTATCCATAATTAAGCATAAATTTAGCTAGATTTTTGCCAATTACCATTTAGGATTTTTAAATTAACCCCTCTCTAATTCTAAAATTATAAAGTTTAATTAGAGCTAATTAGAGCTAATTTATTATAAGAATTTTTAGAAAAATAGCAACCAACCAAGCTTTATAATTTCTCTACTATTACTATATCTTTAATTATAGAGTATCTATAAAGCTTACTAATTAAACTTAAGCTATACCTTATAATAAACTTATCTATTATTAGAGCTAAACTAATAATCTCATAATTATATATATTAGGCCAGTGCTCTAAACTACTAAGCTATAAGGTCTAAAGGTCTAAAGGTCTAAGTTATTTACCTAATAACCTAAATACATTAATATCAATAAGACAATCTTAATATTTACAATTTTTTTATACATTCATCTTTTATTTATTTTATAGTGAACTAATAATAATAATAAAATAATAAGATTGTAATACTTACATAATTTGGATTTGGAATATGTAAAATTACAATTAGGTTGTAGATTCTAATAGGGTTATAGTAGTATTGATAATACTACCTTTATTTATAGATTTGATTATAAAGTTGATTATGAATAATATATTCTACTTAGCTCAGATTAGTATTTTGAATGATTAAATCTAATTAAAAGAGAAAGTTTTTCTAAATATAACAATGAATATAACACTTAAAATATCTATTTATTATTCATTCCATAATAATTATTCTAATAATATTATAAGGCCTAATAAGGCCTCCATACTTAATGATTATGCTAGCAGACCTAAATACCTAGTCCATACTTAGAGTAAGACTCCAAACTACAAGGTTATCTATAACATAGCTAAGAAGATATCTTAGAGATATCTTCCTATATATATTAAATATGTATGATTCAGTAAGGCTCAGCTTCTATAAGCATCAACCCTAGGGAGATTCTAGTACATACTCTATACTATAATATGTATCACTCTACTAAATTGCATATTTAAAGCAGTGGGCTGTAAAAACTGCCATAGGCTCTTTTTATTATGGCAACAGGGACTGGACTGCTCATTTTGCAATCCAATGCCATGCTTTGACGTAAGTGGCATGGCCTTTGACCCCAGAAACCCATTGTCTGAGTACCTATGATTAAAATATCAGCTTTAGTACCAGTAATTGTACCAGCTATGTCTGAAAGTATGCTAGCGAGATATGTAATTATACTGGTGAGATATGAAATACGGACATCAGGGTGAGCAATCCGTGATCAAACTGCAATGTTGTCATCCGTTCTCACACTCGTCTGCATCTTCAACATTGTCAACAGCGACATCTGTCAATTGTTTCCTTGGGCATCCTCTGGGCTTCAAGATGCCCAACCAGTATAAACCTCTATGTGCGTGAAGTCAGCATTTCATGTTTGGATATCTGACAAGTGAGTTATATCTTGCTTCAGCTCCAGAGGACGAATTGGAGCCTTGGATCAAGCTATACTATCATCTTGGCTTGACAGATATACAAATCGCTGAGCTAACATTGGAGAATTTTGATCGAGAAGTATTTGGACTAGGGAGTATTTGGACTAGGGTGAGTAATTTTCCACTCATTGTTATCCCGCAAGCAGTTGCATTATTAATATTGTCTTGAAGAACAAAAATGGTTCAGCGCTTGCAAAAAAAAATGGGGCCTTAAAAGTACTCAGCAGCAAGCTCACACTATCGAAACAATTGCTGTCCATGTTGCTGAGATCAAGCGCTGTTTTCCCAATCGTGGGCTGACTCCATTACCAAGGCCCTCCGAATTGAGAACAACATCTGCGTTCCTTGGTAAGAAATTCAGTTTACCAGATATCTGTGAAGTCTCAACATCTTTCTGGCATAGAGCTTTAGTTGCTAAGTATCTCACTCTTACCGAGCCAGAGGCCGTCAAGAAGCATCGGCATCAGAAATTCAAGCGTCACATGTTCTGGGCTGCTGGTCTCAACTCAATTTGGGCCATGGATCAGCATAACAAGTAGAAGTGATTTGGTTTGTTCCTGCACTGCTGTGTTGATCCCTATCATAGGTTCATCCACTGGATGAAGATCTGGTGGACAAACCAGAATCCGAGGCTGATTGCAAGCTTCTACATCGAAACGGCATGCTGTGAAAAGGGTGTGTTTCTTGCTTGTTTGAAGATATGCACAGGGTTGATTCCTTACTTGTAGGTATCCCTCTCATCATGCAAAGCGACCCTGGGTCCGAGAATTTCGGTGTTGCCAATGCCCATACTTTGGTATGTCACCGTCTAGACCCATCGCTTGCTGACACATTGCAGCATCAGTGGATGCGGAAATATCAAAATATCAAGCCAGAGTCTCACTGGTCAATCCTGTGAGCAGACTGGGCCCCCGGATTTGAGAACCTGCTTGATATCGGTATACAGAATAGTTGGTACGACATTGGTAATCCATTGGAGGCATACGTCATTCTCTTTTCGATAATGTATCTATCTCATGTTTTTTCAATAAATTTTAGGCTCCTGTTTCGTTGGCTAGCAATTCCATGGCTCCAGTGCAAGCTTGATGCTTGGGTGTACCAGCGCAATATGACTGCTCATCATGCAAACAGGCATAAGATTCTGCCCCATGGGATTCCGGAACTGATCTGCCAGCAGCCTCATCACTACGATTCTATCGATTTCAAGGTGCATTGCGCTGTTCCTTTTCTGTATGTATCCATTGACAAATGTTCTATATAGGTTGTGATTTCAGATGCCCTCATAAATGAGCTGGAACAGAGATGGGCTCTGCCAGCTCACGATGTCTTCAAACTTGTTCTTGACAAGTTTGTCGATCGTATTCAGCCGCTATATCTCAATCTCAGTGAACCTCAAGTCTCATTTGACTTATTCTGGAACATCTTCTGTCATCTTATCTAACTTCTCCGAGACGAGCCGCAAGATTTTGCATTTCAAGACATACTAGACCAGCATTCTAGTGTTAGTCAGCATGAACTGGAGGAAGTCCCGCTCATGTCGGGACTGTAGGACTTCCACCTTAGCAGCCATGATGCTGAGACAAGCACAGAGGAAAACCGAGGCTCTTATGATAGTCGGCAACAGGAGTCGGAAGTTCTATATGCTGACTTCTCGGATGCAGGCTCAGATGTGGGGTCATCTGATGGCGCTATAGACATTTTTTAGTTTCATTACCTACTGTTTGGCATTGTAATAAAGGTCTGGTTTGCTCGTAGCCTAACACTATGGTCTGGACAAGTATGTGAATCAAAGTTATTGATGTATGTCCTATCGGAATAATCCGAGCGATACTGGACAAAAGTGCTTGTTTTTTTTAGACCTTTAATCATCCATGCAATATCCACCTCCCAGTATTTGATACACACCGCGCTACCTTTCCCTTATTTGAATCCATCTATCTCTATAATCCTCTAATATAATTCCACATCCGTTTCTAAACTCATGCTTGTTTCAATCATTCAACTTCTTATGAATGACTCTGATCTCGCAGCATCTTTTACACCCAAGATCCCACAACAGAAGTGTCATGGAAGAGAGACATGTGGTTGTACATTGTCAACTGATACAATACGGGTTATACAAGATAAGACGAGCGACAAAGATCGAGAACTGTGTTCTGAGTGTTTTGCGTATTACCAATGCAAATTGTTGACTGTCTCTTGAAGCTCCAGTGAGTTGTTCTTTTTGAATGCTTATAGAAAAGTCCATATTTCTTGCTGTTGCTGCTATGAAGATCAAGCTTCCTTAAGTTCAGTGACTCCAATAGTCCAACCAAGGTTGCCAAATTATGCACGGATTCAGAAACACATTGCGGCTGCGCAATGCAGAGGTATGTAGCTGTTTTTCTGCTCATTGTGAATTGACTAGATTCTCCATTATAGAAGTTCCAGTTCAACACATAGGTGCAGGAGTAGTGCAAGTAGCCTCTTGCAAGAGAATGCCGCCTCCACCAATCATACCACCAAAGCGTGCGTTGAAGATTCCTTGAGTGCATGTTCCTGGTGGCCCACCTCGTACCACATCTGGAAGTACAAGCACGACTGTGCCAATTTTCCCTCTGCCGCTTAATATCACAACCCAAGTGAATCTGGGCTACCAAGCTGCCCATGCACTGTTCAATGTCATGCAGCAGCGCTTGAGAGAGTATGCTCGTACTGGAGCAAAGGGTGAGGTTGTCACTGTGATGGCAACCATGATGACTAGGGTCTCGGGTCGTCGACGTGGCATACCAGTCGGGATGTGTTCTCTATAGTGTTCAAAGTTCGTTTACTTACAAGGATTGCAGCATGTTTTTAGCTCGATAGGAGAGGTACCAGCTCGGATTGGAGGGCAGGACTTGAAAAACATCATGTACAATACACTATATCCAGAGTTTATCACTTGGTCGAAGGACTACCATGTCCCTGTTGAGTCCTTCATTCTCCAAAATATGGACTGGGTCGAGCTTGGGGTTCTTGATCCAGAGTCAGATGCCATATCTTCAGAATTCTACAAACCTAATGGACGCAAGAAAGGCAATCCTATCGAGTTTAAGGCTTTGACAATCAGTTTTATGCTTGAACTTCCCCCCGCCATACATTCAACAATCACTACTCATATTGACGACACCCTCAAACAAGAAGGACTTGCAAAAAAGGAAGAAAAAACAGTAAGCGAAGCCATTTGACTCATAGGAGGGTAGTTGATCTTACATCTTTTGTAGTCATGACAACAGTTGACCGTTCAGGCGTTGTTCACAGTGCTGGTCAATGCAGACAAGAGGAAAGGAAAGGAGCGAGCACAAGTACGTTAATTATCTACCAACATTCCATGCACGGCATGAAAACAGCCATGTACTAGAAGGTAATTGTGCACTCTGTGTACTTACAAATTACTTTGACAGCTCAGTACACCTTCCACAGCGGCATTAGCATCTGATAGTGACGAGCAGCACCCTTCGATACAGATCAAGCTCGACAAGCCTCGAAAACTATTGTTTCTTCCATCTCAAGTCAACAAAGTGGACTCATCAATGTCTGGCAATGCAACATATGAGGACAATGTCCGGCATGCATTTCGAGGGCAACAGGCCCCTAAAGAGTGGTCAGTACAAGCCTTGCATAAGTTATTTTCTTATAATCTTGATACCCATTGGTTGCCGGGGCTTATGTATGACTTCAGGCGATGTTTCTCCCATCAGTGTGGCCATCTATGTCTGCCAAAATAAGTCCTTCCAATGCCTAGTTGAGCAAATCCAAGATCACCAAGCTTCAGACTCCGGATTCTTGGCTTGGATGCAAGAAGTCATCCCATCTCAGGCAACCCTCTTCTATTCTCCCACATCGTCATCATATCGCGGGTCATTCAAAATCATGCACAAATGTCCAATCAATCCCCTACTGTTCAAGCAATTTGGAAAGCTGCAAACGCGCATTGCCATTAAGCAGGCCTACTATCGTAATCCAGATACTAATTCTATACATCTACGTAGCATCAACAGCCAGATCCATTATCTTATCCTTGACATCCTCTGCATTCAGTGGGCCAGTGCACTTCTCTCGATCGTATATCAATTTATCGACAGTGAGCTCGAGAAGCATGAGAACCCATGCCCCCTTGATATTCTGCCATTCCAGTTTGTTAGGGCCGCGCTTGCCATCTCAAGCTCGGAGTCAGGCCAACACCAGTATGCCTATCTTCTTGAAGAACTAATCAAAGATTCTATGGACGAACCATGGCAAAAGTATATCAACAATAATTCAGCGGCCCCAATCCTGCATGATAATGAAGATGATCAGCTGCATAGTGCCTTCTTGGCATTTTGCCAACACGTACAGTACTGGAAGACCTCAAAAGCGGCGTTTGTGACAGATTTTCAAGGTGTGTGACTACCGATAAATACTCACTTATAATCTGCTCATATTAGTTTCTACTCTGCTCCATGTAAGAGGCAAAGGCCTATTATTGGACCCTCAGATAATTACTCACCCGTTGGTCCTGTTTTCTAGTTATAGCCTAGTTTTCTCCAAAGCTGATATCTCCTTTTATCAAAGGGATTTGGGCCAGGTCTTCAGTAATGGCAATCTCAAGGATACCCATACCAATTTTGAGAGGGACCACATATGCAACGCCTTCTGTGTGTTTTTCGGAGTGCCGACAACTTACAATGATAATACAGAGAGGCAGTCAAATTTGGTGAGTAATCAACTATTTTCTATTATGTATTATGCATTATTAACAATATAACTCAGCGTTAAAGTGTTGAAGAGTCTGGATCTCAGCCTATAGCCCCCACCTCCGTTGTGGGTCTCATATAATCATGATAACTGCACGATAATGTCCCATATACGATACCCCGTATATACTATGCCCTTTACTGATTTGTTTAGCTACCATGAATGTTTATTTTTTTGTGTAAACATGAGTGATCATATAAGATGGTTCAATATTACTTGGACAGATTGCTTACCCCAATGTCCATATTTCATATCTCACCAGTATAATTCCATATCTCGCTAGCATACTTTCAGATATAGCCAGTACAATTACTGGTACTAAAGCTGATATTTTAATCATAGGTACTCAGACGATGGGGTCAAAGGCCATGCCGCTTACATCAAAGCACGGCATTGGACTGCAAAATAAGCAGTCCAGTCCCTGTTGCCATATTTTATTATATAGGACTCTACTATTAAATCACCTAACTAGGCACAAGAATAACATAAAATACTTAGCAGGTAGATTATAAAAAAATTATAATGAATACCAAGTAAAATTTATTTTATAGTTTTATTATAAGGTTTCTAATTATTATTTATAAAATTCTAAATTCTTTTATCGATTACATTATAAAAATAAATACTTAAACATAATTTTTTTTTATGGATGAAAATTTTAAATATAATAGAGGCTTATAATTTTATATTAACATATTTGTCTTTTTAAGAACTTTACAAAGTTTATGCTGTTTAAGATATAAAAACTTTTTTACTATTATTTTGGCCAACTAGATTAGGTGCTGGGCTTTTTGAGCCTAATATTAAGGCACTAGCTATGGTACAGATAGTTAATAATCAATACTAATACTAATAGCACTTATTATGCTTGTTTATGCCTAGAATAAAGTTTTCTACAACTTTGATAAGACCTAAGCACCTACCTTATATCCTATTTATATATGTATTTGGAATACTTAAAGCCTTTTGCCTAGCCACTAATTACTAAAGATTTTTCATAGAGAAAGTATACTACTTATGTAATGGTGGCATAAAATAGACATATTTCTACCACATATTTATAAATAGCAAGAAAAGGTCTATATATCTCTCCTTTATTCCCCACTATATGGCTTATAATATAGCATCTATTATGCTCCTTTAACTATTCTCTTCAATGCTTAAGGTCTTATAGAAAAGTAAGGACTACTAAGTAGTTCATGTGATAGTCTAAAACCCTAGTTTATAGGAATCTGTAAACATATCTATAGAGTTTGTGTGATTGTATAAGGACTTACCATGGCTTAATAAAGGTTTGGGATCATATTCTTTAAAGCATTTGTAATTTAGAATATTCTCACCTTTAAGCAGCATTAGCACACATTCATCAAGCACTTGCTTTAGACAAGTTATGTATTGTGACTATACTGGTGTTTATAAGCTATATAGCTCATTGGAACAAACTATAATCTGGCAAGATGAGTATCTACTGCCCTTGTGTTTGTCTCTTTGTTTACTAGTATACCCACTTTGGCAGATATATACTAGTATAAATAGCATTACTAATATTAGACTAGTACATTAAATTACACTTTTATATACTATAATAGGTAATAATATCTATAGATCCTGATATAACAAGTATGGAACTTCCTATTAATATTTATACCTAGTCCTCACTGAAAGAATTTATTAGGTTAAAGGGTAAATTAGGAATATATAAAAACCTATTGAATATTCTAGATTTGCCACTATCTGAAATCCCTTAGTTTATCTCATATATGTACTAAATTTATATACCTAATATTGTACTTATAAGCAAGCAATATTCTGTCTAAAATTTAACATAGTTGGTAGAAGACAAAAGATAAGGGTTATGTGCCTAACTATTACAAAGTAAGGCCCCACTATATCTTATTCAATATTTTAAGATGTTAAATTAGAACCTACTTATATATGAAGGGTATATTGCATATTTTTATTATAATGCCATGAGTCTATGCATTTTAGTAGGGATATACAATAGTGCCAAGATCTGGATAGTCTATGTTTTGGTCAAAGGATCTATAATCTGCATAAAATTTCTAAGATAGCAGAAAAAGGTCCAGTTATTGGGATATAATGACTTCAACTACCTTTGACATACTCACAGATTCAATATCTTGCTTATAAAGTGATACTACTTGTATGTACCTTTCTAACCTATCTAAGATATATATATTAGCTTAAAAATTCCTTAACATTATGCCTCTAGGGATCTGGCACTTAGTTTATATACTACTTGATACCATGACCATTGAAGGGCATTTTCCAATATTTAAATACATGGCACTTACAGAGGTTGTATAATACCACAATGTCTTTAACAATGGATTGGCTACCAACACCAGTCATGATAAAATCAAACAAACATTAGCAAGGCTCACTCTTACTCTGCCTAATAAGAAATATAATAAGTTTCATATTATTAATAAAACTCCATGACTCATTCAATGACACCAATCTCATAGAAGGTCCTATACAAGTTGTTCTTAGCTTTGGCAGGAATAATTCTGAATCCAATCAAGTATTATCCCTAACTTATAGTGTTTATGAAACACACTAACTAACTATATCAAAGAAGAGTGCCTAATAAGGCCACAAACATGGAAGAAGACACACATAGTACTAATAAGTGTAAAAAAGAGTAAGAGTTTATAGAAGCCCAGCTTCTTTTCCTAGATCTTCTTAAGTAGATAGTTTGCCTATATTATACTAGAGGATTGAGAAAATGCTTAAAACTATAATCCTTAGCAGTTACATAGTGGACTAAGAGTAGGTGAATGTCTTTTGTAATAGACTAAATTAAATATAGTAAATTAATACCCTTATATTAGTTAGAAAAATAAAGTATCAGATAGAAATATCTGTTTTAGTATAAATCTAGTGCTTTTTACCCTAAATAGTATAAGGTCATGCTTTGATTACTAAGCAGGGCAGAGGAATACATAATAGGATATATATTATTTCTAGATGAATTTAGATTTGTTGGTATATAGTAGTTTTACTTCATTCTAGAAGTCCCTTATTTTAACATTGTTATGGATAAGGTGACTTTTGCTATTACTATATAATTCACATCAAGGTTATCTTGGACCTGCTTCATCGTTAACATAGAGTACCTGTAAAGAAGAATGTTTTTGCATGCTAGAACATTCATTAGTAATGTGCATAGGGCCCTAGACCAGACCTTGCTTTGTAAGGTTCCACTGAGGTATAATAGTAATAGTTTATGGTTTATCAAACTAGATAACTTATTGTCTCAAGTTAGATACCTCTCAATTTAACATCATGAGATAGATAACTGCTATTGTCTGACTGCTTCCCTTGAGTCATGATAAATGTGGCCCTCCAAGGATAAGGGTAGTTTACTGTCATTTCAGACTTAATCAATTCATTATTCTCGATAATGACATCAATTGAGTAATCCCTATATCAAGAGGGATAAGTAGTTTAAAGTCATTGCAGGCCTAAATAGTCCAGCATTATCTCAGATGTGTTGTTGTCTAGATCAAGACAACAATACATGATCCTTATACATGAAAGGGCAGTAGTTTATAGTCATTGTGGACTTGTTCTACTACAAATATTATAGCAAAACAATGGCTAGTTTAGTGTTATTCTAGATATTGGCTTTGCTCCTTTAGAGAACTACAAAGGGGCAAAACAATGTCCAGTTTATTATCATGGTAGATGATGGGTAGAATGGATGTTTGGTGTGGATGGCCAGTTCCTATCACTCTTCTACTATGTGAGCCATGGGAGTCTTGTGATCTAGCTGCTTTGATTAGATGCTTGACTTGAGGCACATATCCTAGTTGCCTCCTAACTAGGTTTTGAAGTGGAATTTCTTGTCTTCAACTTCAAGACTAGACTAGGCACTTCATGAGAAAAAGCTAGTTCCTCTATATTCTCAGACCCCTTACCTGGAATTGAACCTGGTTGACTCTAATATTTTTTTATAGAAAGGCAGTAGAATATGAAAGCACCTTGACCACTTATAGGCAGGGTTCTGCAATACAGACAGCTAATATTTGTGCTTTGCCAGAATACAGCCACATTCCATGGGTTTGTGGTAGTCTAATGTTATTCCAGATAAAGATAGTTTAATGTCATTTTAGATAGAGACTAGTTTTTCATCGTTGTGGATGCCTAGATAGTTTACAATCATTTTGGACCAAGCCTTTGGTATTTTTATATTATTCTGGATATATTTAACCCCACATTGCCATTAGGGCATTATATCATTCAGCTAGCAGAGTGTGGCTCTTGTTATCTTATGTGTCAGCAATTAGGGCCTCCTAATGCAGAAACGACCCTGTAAAACTAGAGGTCTAAAGTGGAGGAGTCAGGTAATAAGTAGGAAATTGTTGATGAACCTCCTATAAAAGTTGCCTAGACCTAAGAATGATCAGATATTGTGAACCATGTATGGGATGGGCCAGTTTTTCATAGTGCTGATTTTAGAGTCCTCCATTGCAATATGATCTTTAGAAATGGTATATCTGATGTAGTTTAACTTTTTCTTGTAAAATTTGCATTTCTTGGGTTTGAGATAAAGATTGTTGTCACATAGAAACTGGAAAACTTGGTTGAGGATCAGGATGTGTTCCACTGTGGACTGAATGAAGATGAGAATGTTGTTCATATACACTGTTATCTTCCTTGCTATAATAAGTTCTTGGAAGATCATGTTCATCATGGCTTGGAAAGTCAAAGGAGAGTTAGTAAGGCCAAAGAACATCACCATGGGTTCATAAAGGCCTAGGGGTGTTACAAAGGCCACCTTCTACTTATCCTCTTCTTTGATGTGTATATTGTTATATCCTTATTGCATATCCAGTTTACTAAATATTATGGCTCCTTTTATTACATCTAATAGTTCCTAGATTAAGGGAAGGGGGCACACATTTGGGACAGTGTGCTTGTTGA